GTATGTATTGATAGATAAAATTAACGTGTGAAAATATCAATAAACATAAAAATTAATATAATATTTATTACATATATAACTTTCTCTAAATAACTTTCTTTCACATAAAAACTAAGTGCAACACTAAGATACATCCGTCATTAGCAGGAAGCGCTTATCCGTTTTAAATATGGCGTCGCGTAAACATTTGCAATTCACTTTCCAATAGTTATTACGCAATAACTTTTAAGTTTTGACATTTTGATTATAATATGTATAATATGTTATCTAAATAATTCTTATTCAATATATCACGTAATAAATTAGTTTCAAAAATTTCTAAAATATAATTTTTTTTAATACATGCAACATTATTTTACCGCCATTTTTATTATGTCAAAGGTCAATAATTATTGTGTTATATTAATATGATTTTTACGTTTATAATATAATGGCGACATCTTTCTCGGAACTGGTTGCGAGTTGTCGGGTTGTGTGGTTGCTCAACAATGGAATGCCGTTCTAAGCAACCTTGAGGTTTATCATAACCAATTATTAACAGTGAATAACATTTGGTTGTCTTGTAGATTGGGACTATCGAAATTTTAATATATACTGCTTCACTTAAGTAATTAATACAATACAATACTATAGATTTACTAAAAATAATATAAAAATTAATAATAATAATAATAATATTATTATTATGTTCAAAATTCGTCGAAACATTTTATTCGTCGTAAATTTCTAAATAGTTGGTAGACCTGTTATATAAGATGGCTGACATATGAAAAGAATTTTCAAGGACATTAAAGTTTACGAAAACAAAAAATATTCTTATATATGTATATAAAGTTAATTTCATAGGATTTTTATAGTTATTTAATAGATTTTATTAAGTGACGTTCATTTATATAGACATAAAAATTATATATAATGATTTTCATATACATAGTGATATCATATTAAGATTTTACAAAATAATTTCCATTTATATAGTGATTCATATATATTTTATTAAGTGATTTTCATTTATATAGAGATATACAAATTATATATAATGTTTTTCATATAAATAAATTTTATATATTGCTTTTCCTAGTATGTTTTAATTCGTTGCGTGTATGGAATCCATGTCATTTGAACCGGTTCAAATATCAACCAGGTATGATCTACTTGGTAATATCCGGTTTAATAAACACACTAGCTTAATAACGCGGCTTCGTCTGTTTTTCATGTTACTTATTATTGTTTAAAGTTAATTAATTTTGCGTTATTTTGTTATTTTATTAATAAATATAAGACTGTCATCGCGATGTTTTGTTTTTTTTTATTAAATTAGAAATAATTATGGACGAATATTTAAGTTCGTTTCAATGAAGATAAATATCTTTTATACATTTCTATAGAAATTTAAGAATAATTTGAAATTTTAAAAATTACTTACGCTTTATATATGTATATTGAATATTAAAAATTAATTCTTAAAACAACTATACAATATATATTGAAGCATAATTTTGATAAACCTAGAGATATTTCCTATATATACATATATTTATGTTACTTAAAATCATCACACATGATATACATATAAAGAACAAACAAACAAATTTATTGATACTATACAGGGAGACTGGTGAATTACTATCGATACTTGAGGACGTGATATTTGACGATCATATATGACAAAATAAAAATTAATATAACATAAATATTAATAAACTTCTTAGTAAAGTTAACCAAAAGTTATGCAATTAATTACGCATCGTATGAACACCCTACAGATTAGGTATACACACACACTCACACATACGCGCGCGGCGGCGTGTTGTTGTATCAGCACGCCGCCGCACGCGTCCACACTTGGAACACTTGGAACGTGTACACACTTTATTTATTTATACGGAAATTTGGTCAAAAATTAAGTGCCTATTTTTTTTACATAATTCGAATGAGAATCATGTACCGAGTATGCTCCTTAAATATTGATAGTAATTCACCAGTCACCCTGTATATGTAAAAATAATCTGGCTATCGCGATATGTTATCGTATGTAAGGTTAACTCAATCAGATTAGTGAGTGAGTTGGTTTGTGTTTAATATGTTGAGTGCGCAACCAGCACCGCCGACTAGGAAGAAAAGTAAGTTTTAAACATATAACTTCCCTGGCAATTTACCAGATATAGCCAGGGTCTGCCTTACATGTTGTGAATAGTTTTGGCTAATTGTTTTTACGACCGACCGCCGTAGACATCAACCCTCTTTGGGAATGCATTAATCAGTGGTGTCTAAATAGTAAATACTCTTAGAAAGTACATATGACTCGGAAAAATCACATAAGTTTTCAACATATATATGTATGTATATATTATTATTTATTTATATGAAAAAAAACAGCATATATTACTATAATATTTCGGGAAGATAGAATTTGCTTGAAAAGTTTCCACAGTTATTGGGAGTGGAGTGTATTTTACCTTATATTAGAATATTTTATATATATATATATATATATATATATATATATATATATATATATATATATATATATATGTATATATGTATATATATATATATATATATATATATATATATATATATATATATATATATATATATATATATGTATATATATATATGTATATAGAGATCTTTCTTTAAAGATACTAAGAACATATTTTTCATATCTCCTTTGACGATTGATTACGTAAGAAATATAGGTATAAATACTATATAAAATAACTTTTATTTATTTATATTACTAATAGTATACATATATATATTAAAAAAAAGCTAAGTTTAATACTTTTTTTTGGTTAGCGTAGTGTTTTTTTCATAATAACTGTGTGTAAAAATTCTCGGAACGAAAACGTAGTCCCATATATACGACTAAAAATCCGGTTAAGCGTGAATTTGTATTCATATAAAAGGTTCCGTATGTTATTATAGACATGTTAAATTAATATATTAATTAGTAAAAAAATATTTTTTTTTTTCATATAATTTCCTAAATACTTTAGTTAACAACAAATTTAATTATTAATTTTAAATATTAATCTAATAATATAGTTTATATCAGATAAAAAAACTCCAAATAAGTAATAAATTTATGATGTATTTCTGCTTTAACCTTTCCTTGACTAACGCAGTACAATTCCTTGTTAAACATGGCACATAAGGTCTCGTCTTTTCGTGAGTCCCAAACAGCACTTACATACATATAATGAGAACCAAATTGAACTTTTTATTTTTCTTTAATCATAATTATACTTGAGAGTTTCTTATAAACGTACTATAATTTAATATGAACACACAAACAAAACGAAGGTTCTCCATTCATATACGGGACCCTAAAATAAAACAATGAGATTTGGACATTAAAAAAAAATAAAGTGGTTTTGGGGAATGCACGGACTCAATGGAATTTGAAGGACGATTACGTCATAGGTCCCTACATCGAGACGGTCTTTGAGCAAAATAGGTTATTATTTTCCATACATATATCTGATTTATTACCCATTCATTGTTTTTAAAGAGTGACGTCAGCAATGATGACGTCACTCATGTCATTAATTTGAGTACGTTCAATGATAATACTTCAATTCTTATTTCTTGTATTTCTAGAAGATTCTTTTCTCCAATAGTCGTCATTTATACAAAAATTCAAATATAAGTACATATGTACATAGTTCTATTATCGTATTAAATCCCTACTAATATTATAAATGCGAAAGTAACTCTGTCTGTCTGTTACGCTTTCACGCCTAAACCAATGAACTGATTTTAATGAAATTTTGGTACAGATATAGAGTTGACCTTGACAAAGAACATAGGATAGTTTTTATCCCAGACTTTTGGGAAGGTTCTCTTGGAAACGCGATATAAGCGAACTCCACGCGGGGGAAGCTGCGGGCGGAAAGCTAGTAGTTTGTAACAATAATTATGATGAATAACAATAAGTTTTTATAATAATGCTATAATTGATGACAGTCACAAATTATTTTTATGTTGTATCCACCACTACTATCTTCTTCTACCTGGCAATTTCCCAGCTTTAGCCAGGGTCTGCTTTACATTTGTGAATAGTTTTTGGCTAACTAATTGTTTTTACGACCGGCCGCCTGCCTGACGTCAACCCTTTTTAGGAGAATATACTGTGTTCATTAATAAGTTATTTAGCTAAGTTAGACTCTGTAACTAGTTTCTATTTATTATGCCCATACATCTTGTACGATTTATCAAAATAATATGATTAATTGCTAAAAAAGACATTATATAAAAACAATTTTAATATACATATACCTATAAAGATAATAATAATAAATAATTCCAGTCTTAATTATTGTATATGTATAACAAGTCAAGTATATATACAATTGTTATAATAATAATATGTGTTTGTCAGTCTGTTACGAAAAACTACTGTCCAGACTAAATCTATAGAAATAAAGATAACGTATCAAATAATATTACATTTGTATATGGATTGTAATAAAAGAAGATAGAAGTATATTAAAATATGTCGTATTATTATTTAAAATTATTTACTCCCATACAAATCAGCCAAAAAATTACTTACACGAAAACATAACACACATATTCTCTAAATCCCTACTAATATTATAAATGCGAAAGTAACTCTGTCTGTCTGTTACGCTTTCACGCCTAAACCACTAAAATGATTTTAATGAAATTGGGTTCAGAGATAGAGTTGACCTTGAGAAAGAACATAGGATAGTTTTTATCCCAGACTTTTGTAAGGTTTTCTTTTAAACGCGATATAACCGAACTCCACGCGGGCGAAGCTGCGTGTGAAGAGCTATTATAATACATATTAGTAATTAAATAACTATCAATAAAAAGCTCTTATAAAAAATAAATATTTAAAAAATGACTCGCGTGATAAAATTATAGTAACAGAACTTTTCAAAGGAATGAACAAAAAATCCATTAAGTGTCACATTAATGTGGGTCAGGCGAGGAATGTCGTTACACCGGCTTGCACCTGTTAAGATACATTGATAGCTTGGAGTTTACTTAGACTGGATGTATTCAGACTGGGTTCAGACTTACGGAGTAAGCTGGTTGATGTTTTAGTAAGGCGTGACGTGTTCAGACTGGGTTCAGACTTTGGGAGTAAGCTGGTTGATGTTTTAATAAGACTTGGCATGTTCAGACTGGGTTAAGACTTTGGGAGTAAGCTGGTTGACGTTTTAGTAAGGCTTGACGTGTTCAGACTCGGTTCAGACTTTGGGAGTAAGCTGGTTGATGTTTTAGTAAGGCTTGACGTGTTCAGACTGCGTTCAGACTTTGAGAGTAAGCTGGTTGATGTTTTAGTAAGGCTTGACGTGTTCAGACTGGGTTCAGACTTAGGGAGTAAGCTGGTTGATGTTTTTATAAGACTCGACTTTTTTGACTGGAATATAGTTTAATACCGAATATATTTAAGGCCCGCCTCATGCATGAGGGCGTAGGTTCGATCCTGGCCTTGCATTAATGCATTAACAAAGAGGGTTGATGTCAGGCAGGCGGCCGGTCGTAAAAACAATTAGCCAAAACTATTCACAACATGTAAGGCACACCCTGGCTAAATCTGGAAAATTTCCAGGTAGAAGAAGATATACCGAATACATCGTTTTAAATACTCTGAACCCGATTTATGATGTCTCATTAAATAATTAACACTATTGACGAAAAATTGACGAAAAATAATTGAAATGTTATTAAGTTTAAATGCTTTTTTTTAATTAAAAAGCATCAAAAGACGGAGTCCATCACACTAATGTTTGAACCGGATCTAGCACGCGACTCGTCAGCCAAACGTCGCCACTAAAAAGGTTTTAGCTATAGTTTCTATTTTAACAGCTTCTTGCATTTCCTGTTATACACATACGCGTTCTGCAAATATATTATTTTATATAATGCATATATATTATATAATGTTATAAAATATATAATATATTTCTCTTGCATAACGTCTTGGTGTTATAAAATTAATTTATTATAAAATTTTCTTGGATATTTATGGATTTAAACTATAAATCGTTTTTAAAAAATGACATGTGTATTAAGTTGGCAGCATTGAATGTCATTTGAGTAATGACATTTTCCTTAAAAATACGAATTTCGCAATTCAACTTAGTGAGTTAGCATTCACTTAGGATGTTGTCTGTTTCGTAAATGTTCTTAATATATTTATTTAGCTCTAACAGCGCTGTGACCTAGATCTTTTATATATATATATATATATATATATATATATATATATGCCTAAAATAACTTACACATAGATCTCATATAACTGTTTTGTCATACAGCCGATGTCAATGCAAAAGGAGTTTTAAGTTTAATGAGATCTAAGATTTTCGCGAGTATTCATTTAAATATTTTAATTTTTCGGATGTACTACGCGATTTTATTTTTGAGTGAGTGCCTCACATCTCATCTGCCCGTGATCACGGTTGCTGTAAAGTAACCGAAACGTCGGGAGTATGTAGTTTATAATCAAAAATAAAAATCGCGTATGTAGTAAATCCGAAAATATTAGTTTCATTTAAGTGAATACTCGTGAAAATCTGAATCTCAATATATAAATATATATTTGTAACGTCAAAAATATTTCAATAATGTAAAAAAATAAGCTTTAATTAATTCAGAAAAAGAAACAGAAAATCCACTTTTATATACATATATTTATATCAAAAATAGTTCATAATAAAATTTACGTAAAACGCCTTAAACAATCCCATATGAACAAAAACAGAGCATTTTTCAAACATCTCATACTAGATGTCTTATCAGTGTTTGCAGCTGTTATCTCTTATCAGATAAGGGATTAGATTTAAAATGACGTCATGACTAAGAAATCTCTAGAAGTAAACAAATTGAATACAACAATTCTTAACTATAGTAGTAAGTGTTAAAGAAACAAAATATAATTATTATGAATTAGTCGTAAAAATTTAAATATACTTAATTATTTGGTTCATTTGAAATAAAACATATGAAATTTCTTTCGGTTTTCTTGTTATAATTCTGTTATTTTTATAGGATTAAACTAAATGAAGACTAAGTATTACCAGGCTTATAAAATTAGAACTTTTTAATACTGTCCTAAGAAGATCATTAATTATTGCACAAAATATACACGAAAAATATATTAAAATTGTTAAAAAATCCCTACTAATGTTATAAATGCTAAAATAACTCTGTCTGTCTGTTACGCTTTCACGCCTGAACCACTGAACTGATTTTAATGAAATTTGGTACAGACATAGAGTTGACCTTGAGAAAGAACAGGATATTTTTTATCCCAGACTTTTGAAAGGTTCTCTTGGAAACGCGATATAACCGAACTCCACGCGGGCGGAGCTGCGGGCGGAAAGCTAAAATTAATAATTAAAAAATCTCAGTAGAAATACTCAATTAAGATCTCTTTTCATACTTTTTTTCATGAATAATAATGAAATCGAAAATGTGAAAAGAAATTTTTAAATTTAAATAGAAAATGACATTTCGCTTTTTTCTTAAATAATTCCGCATTATTACACTAATTAATCACTTACCTAATATATTACTTAATACACATTTCTTTATGATTATAATTTTAAACTAGCTTTTGCACGCGACTCGGACCGTTTGTTTAATTAACAGTTAACGTATGCACAAAAACATGAGTGAACACGTATGTAGAAATTATAAAAATTAGTGGAATTATGCTTTGAGAAATATATATTAATTAATTTCATTATTTGTTTTATATCAACGCTATATATAAAAGAAAGTTGTGTTAATTACACTATTTATAACTCAAGAACATCTGTAGACTGTAGGGATATGGTTGAAAATTGGTAAAGAGATAGCTTAGAACCAGGAGACGGACGTGAATATTTAATTCTGTTCGATCGAAAAAGAAAAATATACTTATAAAATTCTAATATCTGGTTATTTATGGCCTCTAGAGCGGAATAGAATTCCGAATATATACGAAGTTGCGGGCAAAAACTAGTGTGATATATAATTACATAGTTATTTTGTATTCCTTTAATATAATTTATTTGATTGCGGTAATAATGAAGATTAATATGTTTGTAGTTACTGGTGATTTTATAAACACACACACGTACATATATACAGGGTGACTGGTGAATTACTATCGATATTTGAGGACGTGATATTTGACGATCATATATGACAAAATAAAAATTAATATAACATAAATATTAATAAACTTCTAAGTAAAGTTAACCAAAAGTTATGTAATTAATTACGCATCGTGTGAACACCCTACAGATTAGGTATACACTCACACTCACACATACGCGGCGGCGGCGTGTTGTTGTATCAGCACGCCGCCGCACGCGTCCACACTTGAACACTTGGAACGTGTCAACACTTTATTTATTTATACGGAAATTTTGTCAAAAATTAAGTGCCTATTTTTTTACATAATTCGAATGAGAATCATGTACCGAGTATTCTCCTTAAATATTGATAGTAATTCACCAGTCACCCTGTATATACATATGTGTATATATTATACATTTTCTCGACGTTTCGATTACTTTACAGCATCCGTGATCACGGGCAGACGAGATAAACAAGAAACTTTCATTTCATCTTCCGTAAAATCGCGTACATCAATGCAATGCATAGTTTCAATTAAACTATTACGTAATATCTTATAAATAATATTAATTCTAAATTTCACTTTATTCATATGAATTTATAAATTTCTTTAACAAACCGAGAATCAAACTGTGTACTACTTAAGATCTTACCGCTATCTAAGACTCACCTACAAAACTCTTATCGGTCTGAATACTACACAGATCGCTTGCAAGGTAAAAACATCCATCATTACTATATACCTACTAATATTATAAATGCGAAAGTAACTCTGTCTGTCTGTCTGTTACGCTTGCACGCCTAAACCACTGAAGTGATTTTAATGAAATTTGGTACAGAGATAGAGTTGAACTTGACAAAGAACATAGGATAGTTTTTATCAAAGACTTTTGAAAGGTTCTCTTGTAAACGCGATATAACCGAACTCTACGAGGGCGAAGCTGCGGGCGGAAAGCTAGTATATATATTTCAATCATATGCCATAACTATTATATATAATATACCTAATTACTATATGTTTATCACTTCCTTTATATAGTCACATATTTACGCCTTGACGTTTAACTTAAACTAAATACGAATATACACGCTTTAATATCATAATATTATTTATAAGTCAGTAGTGGCCTAGTGGTTAGATGGCCTGCCTCTCATGCCCGAGGGCGCGGGTTCGATCCTGGCAAGTACCAATGTCATTTTTCCGAGTCATATGTAATTTCTAAGAGTATTTAGACACCACTGACAGATGAAGGAAAACATCGTGAGGAAACATGGACTTATAATTTCATAATTATAAGTTTGAAATCACCAACCCGTCTGGAGCAAGCGTGGTGATTAATGCTCAAACCTTCTCCATGTGAGAAAGAGGCCTTAGCTCAGCAGTGGGCTCTGATAGGCTGAAAAAAATATTCCTAAATTGACATCTGTTTGATATATGTGATGAACAAAGTCGAAGTATAATATTGAATTATATAAAATAAACATCACACACACTACCACGACTCACACACACACACACACACACACACACACGCACACACACAAACAAACATCAATCCGTGAACATTCCTCAATGTGTGCGTCGTCACTGAATGTTAAACATTATGACGTCATTATAATATTGAACATGAAATAAACGATTAATTAAATAAATTAAAACACTCTTGACCTTATACCTAAATTTTAATGACTACCAATTGTTTAAGTGTCAACGCGTACTAAGTTTTTTTTATGTTCTAACTTTAAGGGTAACTTAAAATTTCTTCATTAATACCACCGATTTTTTTAATTTAAGTTACGTACATAGAATTAATTTTAATTAATTATTAGTTTTTATGTTATTGTGTAACAAACAGACATACTAACACGATGATATAATCGTAATTTACTGTAATAATTTACACACACACTTACACACACATAACATAACTTTAATACTCGGAATATAGTGTAATGCAATAAAAATACACAAGTCAGATTTGTAATATACAGGGTGACTGGTGAATTACTATCAATATTTAAGGAGAATACTCGGTACATGATTCTCATTCGAATTATGTAAAAAAAATAGGTACTTAATTTTTGACAAAATTTCCGTAAAAATAAATAAAGTGTTGACACATTCTAAGTGTTCCAAGTGTGGACGCTCTTGGAACACTTAGAATGTTCGAACGCTCTTGTGTGTATATGTTCTTCTACCTGGCAATTTCCCAGCTTTAGCCAGGGTCTGCCTTACATGTTGTGAATAG